TATATATATATATATGTGTGTGTGTGTCGAGTTCATTTGCAAAAACCGATAACTCGTTTTTTCAGAAATCACGTTTTTTTTTATTACGCATTCCAAGTAATATCAATCAAACTGCAGTTGGGTTGTTTTGATTAAGTAATAATAACTTAAACAAATACAGGTAATTTACAAAATTAAAGTTAATTGAAAGTATGCTTGTTTTTTTTTTTTTACATATTAAAAGTTTGTTTTATAGCAAAAGCACATAACTCCACATTTCATGTTTTAAAGTAAAAAAAAAAACTTGTTTAATCTCCTCGGATGACAATGTAGACGCCTGACAAACTGTATGGATGTGATTACACGCAATACACGGAGCTTTTCCCTCACCATTGAAACGCACTACTTTTGCAAGGTTCCGTGAAAACGTTTCAGCTTATATTTTCCTTTTTCGCCCTGAAGAAGATATCATAGCTTCATCAAGATCGTCGAAATGATCCATCCTCGATCACTTTTAGTCAGCTTTGATGAAACGCCTCTCAGCTAGCACGTCTTTCACAGTAAAAGTAGCCTTGTCACCTGACCTGAATACAGCGCGCTGATTCACTAAAATTGATTTATCAGCTTCTGTTAAAAAGCTTCTGCAGTAAAACGTGAACTTGCGATGCCTTGAAAGTGGACAAAACCGGCTTTTTTGACAAAACGTGTTTAGGGTTCAGATTACGCTGTATGTGGAGAACAATGCACGGCAATCGGCTCTTTTTTTTTTTAAAGTGGCGTTTATCGGTTTTTGCAAATTAACTCTTCATATATATATATATTTATGTGTGCGTGTGTGTGTATATATCAGTGGTCACACAATTTTTTTTTAGCAGTGATGGAAAAATCTGAGGGCCATCTGTCATTTTGACATTACACTGAGGGTGATCTATTGTAACTTGTAACTGTAATTCCCAACCCTGTCCAGCTGGTGGCGAGTGGCAGCAGAGCGTAGGTTCAGCCTCCAGAACAAAATTAAAGCTGGGGTTTTTTTTTAAATTAAGACGCAAAATCTAACTGTTGCCTCTGCATCAGTCTCTCTTGATGCGTTTGATTTGATACAGGCGAGCACCCATGTTGTAATAATAAAGTTATAATACTAACTTAATAATTACATATTGTTTCAACTCCAATTCCGTCTTTTTTTATATATATGTATGAATATGTAATATGGTGCATATATTCTTTCCTACATAACGAGTTTTTGGTCACTTAATGGCTGTCCAGCTGGTGGCGAGTGGCAGCAGAGCGTAGGTTCAGCCTCCAGAACAAAATTAAAAGCTGGGTTTTTTTTTTAAATTAAGACGCAAAATCTAACTGTTGCCTCTGCATCAGTCTCTCTTGATGCGCTTGATTTGATACAGGCGAGCACCCATGTTGTAATAATAAAGTTATAATACTAACTTAATAATTACATATTGTTTCAACTCCAATTCCGTCTTTTTTATATACATGTATGAATATGTAATATGGTGCATATATTCTTTCCTACATAACGAGTTTTTGGTCACTTAATGGCTTTTCTGAGGTAATGTAACATTACGTGACAGTTTACAGCGGTTGAAAACACTGATTGATTGGTTATGTGAGACATGAAATGGATTTTGGTAAATTGTACTGGTTCTTGCAACATATCTTCTGAGGTTCATTCATGTGTATTTCGTGCCATAAGTAGTAGTAAAGTGGAAAAGATGATCGTTCATGTGCGCTTTGTGCTGCAGCTTGGGTATTAGATGTCTTATTATCATTATGAAAATGACAGGTAATAATAGATTATGGCAGAACTTATATTGAATATAAATATATTATTATTTTTTATTTTCATTTATATTTATATAACACCACCAGTAGGTATCCAGGTAATCTGTGCATGAAGTTCAGATGGCATCAGTAAATTTAAATGCCTTTTTTGGAGATTTTTCTGGCTTAAGAAGTTACATTGCTGGCCAAGTTTCATATTGATGCTTGTGTGAATAAAGTGTCTAATAAACAGTCTGACCTGGTTGAATGGGTGCTGGAGTTGTGCTGGTGGCTGCAGCTGGTGCAGCTGTGGCTGGGATGCCTGATGAGGTTGTTGTGGAGGGGGCAGCGGGGGCAGACACTGGTGCAGGGGCCATGGGTGTGAACAGGAACCGCTGGACTTGGCCATTGGGCATAGCTGCCTGCATGAGCTGCTGACCGGCCCCCGGAATGACCGTCACCCCCTGAGGAATGACCTGCAGCTGGCCGGTGGTCTGACCTTGCCCCTGGATCACAACCGTCAAGCCCTGGTTCCCTCCCTGAAGAGTGAAAGCGTGAGTTTATTTCAATATTAACTTTAACCTGTGTGGCCTAAGCGACAAAACAAAGTCATTGGAATAGAGTACTGCGCGGATTATGTATTTGTGTAGGCCAAAACCAGAAAAAATATCCACACTTCTGGTTCCATTGTCCTAAAGTTAATGTTTTGTTCAAATGAATTTTTTGGTTAAATGCTTGCAAAAATCTCTGTGGTTAACACAAGCTCAAAATATTGTCATGTTTTATTCTACAACATAAAATGCATCAGTAATACCATATACAGCCAACATTTAGCTTTTTAATTCCGCCGACTGTATCTGAGCTTAAGAACTCATAAAAGTTCATTAGTGAAGAATGATGAACAAAACGTGTAAGAATCATAAAAACCTTTGTCGGTTGCAGAGCTTATTTTCTGCAATAATCCAAAAACCAATTGTTTTTTGTCAAGGGAATCAGAGTGATGCTAACTTTGATTGGCCTACAAAAATAGGTCAATACTGAAGCACTTTATAATGTGCACGGATGAATCGGGCACAATAAGAACATTAAAACTGGTACAAACCTGAGCCCCCTGAGTGAGCTGTGTGAGCTGGGCCAGAGTGAGTTTGACCTGACCCTGCTGTGGCCGGGGAGAAGAGGGTGTCTGTGGGGTTTGGGCTTGGTTTGGTGTGGAAAGGCGAGGCGTACCCACCACCTGAGCGCCTGAACTCGTTTGCACTGTCTGTTGTGCTTGACCTGTGTGATATAAATCCCATTTACACTCTAAAAATGTGGTATATTTATACATAGAATTGGCCATACTGTGCATATCACAACTGTAGCATTATGCAGTCAAATATGTTTGTATAATCAAATCAAGTCCCATTTATTATATAGCACATGTCGATGCTGCAAAGTTAGTGTCATTATGCAGCTCAAAACAATTCAAATTTTGTTCTTATGCAACAGTGGCTGCACAGATAAATCAATAATATTACAGACCTTTAATTTTATCTTTTAAATAATGACCACTAATTGAATGGGATTCTGTCATTTCCTGTCTCTAGTAAACTACTGAATAAACACACAAAAGTGTTTATTAAACATAATTAATTAAATGTAAGAAATTAACAATTTCACTTCCAGGATGAAACCTGGTTGAGAATACCTTGCTGAACCATCAGGGGCGTGCGAATGATAGTCTTGCCCAGGGCGGTGGTCTGTTGCAGAGGAGAGCGTATCACAGTCATCCCTGGTCGGAGAGCGGTTCCAGTCGTAAGGACCTGGGCATAAACAATTACATAAAACATTATTGCAGGAACAAAATATGTTGAGTTTGCCAGAGTGGATGATTTTACTGAGAGCTCATGCCTGCTGCGTGGAGGTGGTTGTGTTGGGTCTGATGTTGATGGTGGCCATACGCGGCTGGAATGCAGGGAAGGACTGTGCGGTGCCCGCTGTGCTTGATGGAATGATGCCCACCACCTTCTGCTGTACCTGCACCAAGCCTGCCGAGATGATGAGTAGATTTAGTTTTCTCCAAGAATACTGCATTACGTAGATAAATAGCTGGTAGGGCTGCACGATAAATCGCATGCGATATTTAATGCGCATCTTGTCAGAAAGCCGGTTCTGTAATCAGCGGTAAATCTCCATCACGTGCGTGCTTTCACATTGAGCCGCATTAACTACACAGAGCCGTTGTTCACTCACGAGCTGCGCAAAAAATTGCGCGAATATGAACGTGGTAATAGCTGGTCAAAAGTTTGGAGTCGGTAAGATTTTAATAAATGTTTTCGAAACAAGTCTGTTAAGTTCACCAAGGCTGCATTTATTTGATCCAAAATACAGCAATATTGTGAAATAGTATTACAATTTAAAACATGTTTTTCATTTTAATATATTGTAAAATTGTATTTATTCCTGTGGGGGCAAAAAAAAATCAGTCTGATATGCTGATTCACTGCTCATTTCTTCGCTGCTTAATATTTGTGTGGAAACTGTGATACATTTTTCCGTGATTCTTTGATAAATAGAAAGTCGAAAAGATCAGTATTTGTTATACTGCATATTATTAAATTATTATAAATGTCTTTACTGTCACTTTTGATCTATTTTTGCATCCATGCTGAATGTTAAGTGTTAAGTAGTAATTTCTTTCAAAAGAAAAAAAAAATCTTACTGACCCCAAACATTTGAATGGTACTTTTTAATCAGAAACTTTGAGCTGGAAAATTAAGGTTAAGTGTGAGCCAAACAGAGCAACAAAACAATTTAGCATTAAAAAAAGAGAAAGTAATCCTAATTCTTTTCCGTATTCAACAATGATAATCAACTGAATTAAATTCAAAATAGTAAAGCCGTAAAACAGACATAAAGCTTGTACCAAAATTTAGTGGATGTTCACAATAACAGCAATTAAACTGAATGTTTCCTTAAACCGCCACCTCTCACTGAAATTAAATGACTTTCGATTGCTGTGTTGCAGCAAACTGCTGCCAGTCTGAACACCCTTTTAGACTACTAACAGGCTGTATTAACTGACCCATGCTCACGAAAGTAAAAAATACGTCCTTTAAGAATACTGAGCCGATATTTTGCCTCTCTGCGTGCAGGCAGGCCTAACTTAAAACAAAATCTCATGCCAATGATGTTGGAGGCCTGCCGTACCTCCTTGAGTGGTTGGCACGTTCACTGTGACTATCTTGCTGTTGGCTGGAACAGGTAGTTTAGCAGCGATGACGCTGCCGGCCATCGACCCCGCTGCAGCAGCGATGTGGAACGTTTGCCCAGACGTGGTGGCGCTACTCGCCGCCACTGTCACAACCGAACTGGTAGAGACTGCAAGACACAGGTCTGATCACCACCCTAACACATACATCTCAATCAGGAAATACATCAGCGGTTGAATCCAAGTACGCCACGGGCAACGAAATGATGTCAAGCACTAAAAACACCACCACAAATACGCTTACCAAGAAAAAACAACATAACTGGACGGCAAAAAAATCCAGCTAATTTCCAACCAAATATACCGACGTGCAAAAAAAACTAAACAAAAAACAAACAAACAACAACCTCTAAAATAAAAGCCATCAAGCAACATTAACCATGCCTACTCATAACATTGTAAAGACTAACCTGAGTTGCCTTGTTGGCCCTGCTTGACCCAGGAAGCAAAGGACTGCTGAAAGTTCTTGTTTTGCTGGAATGTCACTGGAGAGCCCAACTTGGTGGTCATTATAACTTTTGGCGCTGAAGTTACCTGACCGCTAATAGAGCCCACCACCACCTTTTGAGTAGTGGTCCCAGGGGTTGTAGGGGTGCTGGTCAAGGTGGATGTGTTGTTGGTACTGCTAGGTTTCTGCTGTTCCAGCCGTTTCTGCAATATAGTCATTGAACAGTTCAACTTCACAATATAAACATAGATACAAGGCAATAAGCTAAAGCACCAGATAAAGTCAGCTATGGGTGAGTAATTTGATTAAAATCAAGATTATTAAATTATATGAATTTACCCAACCAAACTAAGAGTGAAAAAAGCAAAAGCAAAAAAGTAGTGGTAGATGTAGCAAAAATAAAATCAATGAATAAATAAATAAATCATAAGGCCCATTGGGAAGAACACCCATTTCATTCAATATTGTGCCCCAGGTTAATAAAAAGGGGCGCCCCAGGTGGGCACATGTCTACTTTCCCACCTGTTGGGCTGCCAATCTCTGCTGCTTTAGCTGAGCTTCCAATTGGGCCTTGACCTCCTCTGCTTTCTTCTGCACACTAACCTTAGTTGGGTCAGCTGCTTGTACCTTTTCCCTCTCAACCCTGTGAAGTCAGAAGGTTTAAAAATCTTTAAAAGAATACGAATTAACAAATAAAATATCATAAATTGAGACACACTGACCATTGAGAAACATACAAACTGGAAAAAGAGTAAATGAGCACAGGAAATAATATCCTAAATGAATATCATTAAAATATATAAGCTAATATATGCAAACATCCATGTCTCATCTACAACCCTCCTTCGTCCAAGATCTTTCACTCTAGAGAAAGCTTTGATGGCGCGTTTGACAAAAGGAATCAGTAAGTTTGGTTTTAGGGTTTGTAAATTCACAGAAAAAGAGGGAATTCCCACCTTTCGGTAAAGGCTCGAATCTCCCAGAGTTCCAGGTCTTCCTCGGCCACCCAGGTTTCGATCACAACAGGCCCAGTCTGCTTAGCTGGTTCTGGCTTCTTTGGCCTCAGAGCACTTGAACGAAGGCCTTTCCTTTGAGGAGTGGGAGTTTCTGCTCAAAGGAATGATGGACAGATCAAATATCAGCAGTGTTTCTGGTCAATCAAAGCTTGCATGATAGAAAACTTTCCATGTCTTAAAAACAAAGCACTGGTTGAGTCACCATTACCTTTGGGAGTCTCAGGCACCCCAAGGGGACAAATGATCTTCCTGATGCAATACTCAGAACGAATGCCATAAGGACCAACATCCCTCCGCTTGATGATCTCAGTGGTGGTGATATCAGTGTCAGATGTCTCTGTTAAGTTACACAAAAAAGGTTGAGTGCTGAACACCAAACGACAAAGCGACATTAAGTTGACAAGCAGTTAAGCGCCAACCTGTTCGTGTTGTTCCTCCTGTGGGTGAGGGTTTCACAGACATATCTTCCCATCTGAGGCAGGCCCAAAGTAGCCGTAGCATTAGGCTCACTCCAGCCAAAGATCTCACCGTCTGGAGACGATACCTGTATGACAGAACCTCCAGCTCATTAACATTACAAAAAAAGGTTTAAAAGAACTTAGCACTCATGCAAATCTAATAGGCCAATTTGGTCTTTTGGTGACCATTACTGTTCTTAAAAAAAAAGGCAGCTAGCATCAATATCCCTATTTTTTCTGAACACCAAAGTAACACTGAAAAAAGACAATACCAGTAATTGGGACCAAGAACATATTACAGGAAAGCGCTACAAAGACTCTTAAGGAAACTAGCATATGTTAAATTAGATTACTACATTCTCTGAACAAAAAGTGAGTTGTTCTTCAAGCTGAATCTGCCACCAAAAGTGCTAGGGAGTTGCCAAGGTTTTCTATATCATTTTTAACGCATTGCTACATCGAAGCTTGGATGTTCTCGATGGTTGCTCGGGCATTGGTAGCCGGCTGCTCACTGGTCCAAGTCAAAAGAGCCACCCTCTATGATATTCCGGTTTTAAGGTACAAGTCAGGACATGTCTACAATCTTCATCCGTTTTATCATACACCAGACAAAATCGTAAGTCTGACTGCATAGAAAGTAATGGCACACCTCTGTTTAACAAGACACAAAGTTTTGAAGTAACGTTTTTGCATGTAGAACAAACAGTTAATACTTAAATTTAGGGGCTTGTTCAAATTCCTAACCTAATAGTGTCCAATCCTGCTCCTAGAAGGCCCATTTCCTGCAGAGTTTAGCCCCAACCCACCTGCCTAAAAGTTTCTAGTGACCTTAAAGACCTTGATTAGTTGGTTCAGGTGTGTTTGATTAGGACTAGAACTAAAGTTTGCTGAAAGGTGGTCATCCTGGAGCAGTAATGGATATTCCAATACTCTAACCCCAATTATAAGCCATAATAACAGTGATGCTTGCTTTAGCGATTAATTCAGGTTTTCAGAAATACAACGTGATGACAAAGATCAGGGGGAAAAAAGAGAAGATATAGACCTCCATGTGATCCCAAATGTTGGTCGTGGGGATGGGTAGGGCCAGATGTCTAAAGCTGGCTTGGCGTTATAATTAAAGATAGGAACTTCACGGATGCCACCGCGCCTTGCAAGTTTCTTCAGCTCGTCATTGGGAAGCACGAAGATACTCTTCTTGCTACTCTTGGTCACAAACTTGCGGTACGAGGGCAAGGCCGTTCCGGACCTTGTTTTCTTGATACGAGAGAACTTTAACAGTCGTACCCTGTCCCTAGTGGAATATTCGTGACTTACTGTCATAGATTTTACAGTGGAACCACTAGGACTAGACACGGCATCAGTCAGTGTTTTCGTGACCGTGGTCTTGCACTCTTTTGTTAGAGTAGCTTCCTGGGATGAGTTCATAACCTTGGTAACAGTAGTGGTAGATGTAGAGGAGAGTGTCGAAACCGAGCTGGTAGACTCCACATTAGAATCTGTTGGTACAGATGTACTGATCCTGTTATTGGAAGCAAGACTGTCACGTGAGGTCAACACCATACGAGACTCTGTGGATACTGTGGTTGTAGTTGTGGTGACTTGAGTAATGACAGTCGTAGTCTCGCTAACGCTGCTGCTGTTTTCAGTGAGGTCACTGCTTAAGCTGGACTCTTCAGCTGAAGGGATGGGTGAAGGAACAGGAGGCTTTGCCTCCTCAACTTGCATCGGCTCCACCTTTGAGCTATGACTAGGCACCTCGGATCTTGCATTTGGCTCGGAAGCTACAGAAGACGGTTCGGGTACAGAGGAACTAACCGAGGAGTCTACAGGTCCTTCGATGTTGTTTTCCAACTTGGCCACTTTCTGAGGTGGTGGATAATCTGGGTCAAGCTTGGTAACTCCTTTCTCCTCATCCGAACTCACCTGGGGAAGCGTGCTATTAGTCCATTCTTTAAGACACTCTTGAGTGACGTCACCATTCATTAGTGACTTCACTGGTTCCTTTGGTGATACTGCTTTAATCTCCTCCCCAACTGTATTGGTTAGCTCCTTTGTGTTAATATTATCAGTCAAATTCTTACATTCCGTGTCAACAAGACCATCCTTCCCATTTACATGCACAGGCACTGTTCTCTTTACATCTAGGTCATTCTCATTGTTTTCAATGACATCCTTTCTCTCAGAGACTTCAGGCGGACATGTAGTTTCTGTAACTGTTTTATCAGGTTTAGCGTTCAAGCTTTGATCCAGACTTTGAGAGTTTCCATTAAGCTCAGACATTGCCACCCTACTGGCGGTCTTAGGTTCGGACTCTAGCAACTTCTGCTGATGTTCTTTAGGGGCTAAGTCACACACTGAGTCATTTAATCTGACGTCCAGGATGTTCTTCTGTCCTGAAATGCTTGTCTTCACCTGTTCATCCTCTTGATTAAAATCAAGCTTTTTGACCACATTGTCTTTTTCTTGGATTGCTAGACATGCTACCCCCTCTGTCTGTCTAGACTTTGGAGTTTCAGAGATAGTTCCTTCAATCTTGACCTTTTGGTCTTCAGCAGCAAAGGTTGTCTCCTTGTTTTCCATTATCTTTTCAGTCAAGGGTTTAGAATTGGTGGCCTGCTTGAGTTTCTCATGCCTCTGCTTCTCTTCTATGGTGAACTGTTTGACCCGTCTCTCCAAAAGTCCATCAAGTTTTGATGTCTTCCTTTTCTTGTATGCCGTGCGTAGCAAGAAGCCTTCACTGACATTCACAACATCATGCCAGAAGGATTGCTGGGGTTGATTTAGAGCACTATCCTTCATTACCTCACTATCCGAAGGCTCTCCTTTCAAAGGAGAGTCATCGGATGAGGCATTTATAATGTTAGCTGCAATTATGAAAAACAGAGACACATTAGCAACTACTTTCCACAAGGGAACTATTTTTACAATACATGCTATTTCATTTCTGATATACTTCTGTTCTTGGTACAGGAAAAAGCACAGAGAATATTAAACTTTGTAAATACCTGCTTCATCATTTACAGAGTTAGGTGAGCTGGTGTCCATTTCTTCCACAGATTCATTTTTCTCAGCACACTTTTTTTCAGCCGTTTCATTCTCTTTTTCTTCATTTTGTTCTTCATCTTTTAACATGGGATCTTTCTCCACAGGTAGCTTTTCTTCAGAAGAATCCAGTGACGTGTCCTGGACGTTATCCTTTTCAGGCACATTTTGAAATGAAATTTCATCGGTTTTAACCAAAGTTTTTGGTATTTCTGGGAGAACTGCTTGATTGCCCATTCCCGTTTTAGCTGCTAAAAAATAATTTGTATGAGAGAAATTCTGCCAATGGAAGACTTTTCTGTCTCCCAGATTACATTTTGTAGTATTATATATGAGCAAACAACATACCCTCAAGTGCTTTCCGGTAATTGACATTGGTGTTTCCAGGTAGCTTTGGGACAAAGCGATGGACGTGCGTCTTACTCACCCAGCTCCAGCCTCCATACCCAGTTACTCTGTACTCCTCCCCCTTCTGCTTCCACACCTACAGAAGATGTTTAGACAGTTACTGAATGCCTACAGCTTAAAGGCTGAAGTTGATGTGATTTTCTAAAATGTTCAAATGAAACACGCTGCCAAGTGTTCAGACGTACCTGGTGTTTGATGGGGAAAGTGTACTTCACCCATGTGGCCTGCTGCATAGTCTCTTCATCTTCTAGTTTTTTCTCTCTCTTTTTCACCTTCTCCTTCTCTTCCCGCTCCACAGAGGTCATGCGATGAAGCCTTCGGAAAGATGAAGAACAAAAAAAGAAAGCTCACCACAACTGGAACATAAAGGTGACTCACTGTACATTTTCATAAAGCCCCCAGCATGAAATTTGTTCAAGTACACAAATGCTTTCATGTTTAGAAGCAACAATGTGCTGAAAAATATTACTGGATTAATGTATTATTATCCATACATGCAAATAAGCATTTCATTCCCCTTAAAATAAACTGCACATGACAATTACATAGGTTTAACAAAGCCAATATACTGCTATTGTAAAAATGTGGCTGTCCTTTTGTTTTGTTTTTACAAAATCCCTAAGCTCTTTCTGACTGTAAATCCTTCTAAAGCTTTCAAGCTACATCCACCAAACACAGCCCAGACATGACTTGGGTTGTTATGACTTTCTTACTGAACTGACATTTTTCCTTAGCAGAATATCAAACAAGGCCAAGATCCCACAGACTTCTAGTGAAATCTATAACGACTCTTAAAACTTGCAATCCACTAGACTCGGCACAATGCTTTGATTTATTCAGCTTTAGCTGCAGATCTCAAAAATTCCAGACATAAAGCTCAGATGATTTCAAACTCAGTTCAAATTTAAATCACATACACACTTTAATCTACTCATCTATGTTTCTATCTGGTTTGTATGACCTTCAAATAACTTGTGATTTTTTAATATTTATACCAACCATTTTATATAGACTTTAATGGCTGCTTTTATAGACAGACTTGTAAAACAGCTGTAGCATCAGATGCCATCAATTTTCTGAACTGCTGATTGCTAGCTATATTTTTTATATTTTCTATCCAATCAAGCTCTAACAGGCAACAGATCATGTGAGCTTCACTATCTGTACTCATACTGGTAGTCACCATATTGCATTTCTTTGCATTTGCATACATATAAACACTCATCTTCGTTGCATCGCTTTTTTTCCGAAGCATCAAAAGATTACGGACGGCTGTTTTAATATTTATTTAAACTGACCTTGTGTGACCCAGAGAATCCTTCCACATAGGGAGCATGACCACTGGTTTGATTGCACACTCCAGAATGGCCAAAGCTAAAGCAAACTCTCTCGCCTTGCTGCACATCTGGACAGCCTTTATCCAGTTTGACCTACAGCAATGGAAAAGGTTACAGGATGACATGGTTAAATACTGCTTCCAGAAACCATTATACATTTAAAATAAAAGTCCTACTGGCACTTGTAAGGCTTTTACCTATGTGACGCCCAGTTGGGATGCAAGAACGGAGCAGGGATATTGTTCTCCAGCTGGATGATGGTTAATCTCAGTGTGGACACAGTCAGGGCTTTGGAGCCGTACAGCGATCCGTTCCACTTGAACTCACCAGCAGGGGTCATGCAGAACTTGTGGGAGAGGTGTCTGCGTTTGTCGTGGTCCTCACGGTGTTGGTGCTTGTTCAGTGCAAGCGTGTTAGTGCTGTACTGATTGTGGTAGACACGAAATTTACCCTCTTGGCCCAGTTTGAAAAAGCCACTGCTCTTGTTTGAATCTCTCTTAAAAGAGCCAAAGGATGACAGTGGAGGAGTCTGAAATAAAATTCACAGGATTTACAGAAATACACGCATTATTCTACAGTGTAATATATTTCAAAGCAACTTTGTAACTTTTTTTTGCTGAAGACCTCTGGTATCTTTTTGCTTAATATGAGCAACAGGAACATTGATTCGTGCCTTAGCAAACACCGCTAATGACCAAAAAGATAAAGTCCCACCTCTTTAAGTGCTCTGCTACCATCTTGAGAGCTGCCATCTTTGTCCTGCATGACCTTGCGTTGGCTTAGCTTGCTATCAGGGTTTCGGAGTCGTGTAATCATGCGCGACGATCCTGTTTTTCCGCTATCTCCATTAGCTTTACCCTCACCTAAAGATTAAAAATGTAACATAAATAAGTGTAAAAATCGAAATATGAATAAACGTAAAGAATTATGTTATAGGTGTGTATGTGGGTGCATAGACACCTGTATCGTCTTGGCTGTTGAGAGAAGACTGTGAGGACCGGTCCACCAGGTCAGGCTCTTCTGGACCTCGCAGGCATTCAGAAATGGAGAAATGACTACTGCAGCTGTTCTCATCCGCTGTTTGTGCAGGTTCAGTGTCTAGTACAGAATCTCCTTCTCCGTGACCAGCAGACTCTGAGCTCTTAACTTAAGGACAAACAGTGAGAGAAGATATATTACATACATTAGTAATGTGTGACACTTTGGCCATGTTGAGTGTAGAAGACTCCCACAATACGCATACTATTTTTGCATACTTTGAAACCAAAAAAATTATATGCAGTACACCAGCATTACACTCCAACCTCAGCCAAAATAATATTGTAGAAAAGTATTAACGCTGCAGTATCTATCAGTATACCACTATAAACTTTGGTAAATATAATTCAAAACAATCCAGACAGGTTCTACACTCTCCGTAAACATGATATACCAAAGACAATGGCAAAGATCCAGTGCTGCTCTATAGACGGCACTATTAAACAAAGGTTTCTGGGAAGAGGTTTCTGGTCTCTTGTGCCAAGAGGGTCTTTGTTTTAGTACAAGAAAACAGAAGATCTCTTCTTAGCTTGAAAATTAACTGCAGCTAACTAATTAGATCTGTCTTAATGTAACAGCGTGGTACTTGAACATTGAGAAAAGCGGTCGCTGTACCTGCCAACTCTGTCACCCCTTCAGTCCCTTCCCCTCTCTCCTCACCACTGGAAGACGATGTCACGGCATTTCCCGTGGGATTCTGGAAGTCAGATTTAGTCGGTATGGCCGAGCTGGATGCAGCGAGCTCAGGAACATTAGTGCTGCCCACCTCACCAGTTGGGACAGCTGAGACTGAGGCTGAAATATGAATGGACAAATGTCTGCGTTCAGTGTTTTAACACTAACAGATGAGAGATGCAATGATTTGGTTGTAGTTTCAAATGCAAATGATGAGGGCTGTAGCTTCGTTTGAGAGGAGCCAAGATTACCACACACTACAAATATTCAAATAATGTTGAAGAAAAACTTTCTGTAGCAAAGCAAGCACACATACAAGACGTCTGTGAAAGAGCGCACGGTCTGGAAAGCATTGCACTGATTTTTAAGTATCACATTTGTATATAAACAGCTGAAATGCTCTTAAAAAGAGTGGATTCAGATACATTTTGAATTCACTGGCTTGTCCAGTCAATTTTGATTAGTAGGTAATAGATATACTACCACTCAAAGGTTTGAGGTCGGTAAGACTTTTAATGTTTTTGAAAGAAGTCTATTATGTGTTTACTAAGGATGCATATTATCAAAAATGCACTAAAAATAGTAATATTGTGAAATATTATTACAATTTAAAGGGGTCATATGATGCGCTTAAAATTTTTCCTTTCTCTTTTGAATGTTAAAAGCTCTTTGTGCATAAAGAAGATCTGTAAAGTTGTAAAGACTAAAGTCTGAAATCCAAAGAGATATTCTTTATAAAAGTTAAGAGTCAACCACGCCTATCTAAAACGGCTCGTTCTAACACGCCCCCACATACAGTGGGGAAAAAAAGTATTTAGTCAGCCACCAATTGTGCAAGTTCTCCCACTTAAAAAGATGAGAGAGGCCTGTAATTTTCATCATAGGTATACCTCAACTATGAGAGACAAAATGAGAAAAAAAATCCAGAAAATCACATTGTAGGATTTTTTAAGAATTTATTTGCAAATTATGGTGGAAAATAACTATTTGGTCAATAACAAAATTTCATCTCAATACTTTGTTATATACCCTTTGTTGGCAATGACAGAGGTCAAACGTTTTCTGTAAGTCTTCACAAGGTTTTCACACACTGTTACTGGTATTTTGGCCCATTCCTCCATCCAAAGGCGGGGCATAGAGGAGCAACAATAATGTACATTATGTGGAAAATAATGTGTTTTTTTTTACCTTAAACCGCATAAAAACATTGCATTACACCAAATACACAATGTTCTTTTTAGCATCGTCAAATGACCCCTTACATTTACAAAATAACATTTTCTAATCAAATATATTATAAAATGTGATTTATTGCTGTGATGCAAAGCTGAATTTTCAGCATCATTACTCCAGTCTTCAGTGTCACATGATCCTTCAGAAATCATTCTAATATGAGCATTTGGTGCTCAAGAAATATTTCTTATTATTAGCAAACAGTTGAAAAAAGATGTACTAATATTTAATATTAAATATTTAATATTTTCTTTTCTTTTTTTATTCTTTTTTGTGGAAAAACGTAAAAATTTTTCAGGATTCTTGAATAGAAATACTGATTAGAAAATTCAAAAACAGAATCTTCAGTAATATTGTAAATGCTGTTTTCACTTTTGATCAAGCACCCTTGCTGACTAAAAGTAGTAATTTCTTTATTTAAAAAAAATCTTATGAATGGGTGAAGTATTTTCAAAATTAGCCTCAGACCGATTCGCTTATGAATCACTAACTTGAACAATTCATTAAAATATCTGACTCAAAAGAACAATTCACTCACAAAAATGACATCACTATGGCTCGCCAGCAAATTAAAAAAAGCTCTACACAAAGGTCATATGGTAATAGGGCTGGGCGATATAGCTAAAAAAATGTATCAACTATATAATGTTTCACATCGTTCGGTATCGATAATTATTGACATTTTTTATAACTTTTTTAAAACAAAGAGCAATAAAAAAAAATTTAACCACTGTATTTTTAAATTAACCCAATTTATTGAGACAAACACCACATTTTTTTGTTTTAACAATCAAACACAAAATAAAAATTTAACAAATATCTAATTTCTAATGTTTTATGCGCAGAATAAATAGGTTAAACTTTTGGCTTGTCTCCCGAGGCCACAGGAGGGCGCAATGAGCAAATTAATGCAGCACATTTAAATTGTCAACACAAGGAAGTAACTCTATAAAAAAACGTGCATTACGTCTAAATTAACTCATAAAAATAAAATATAATTTCGTAAATTGCATAAACAATTGTGAACAAAACAACATTATGTATTTATGCATTGCTTAATCCAAAGAGCCGAAGCGCCATTCACACAGATTGCCTTTAAAAACATATGAGATGCAGTGAAAAGGAATAAACCTCCACAAATTCGTGACGCGTTTTCTAAAAGTTTAAACTGTTTTAACTTTGCATGGCTTTCTATACATCTCTTGTGTGAGACGCGAGTGCAGCAGTCGTATTTGTCCGACTAAAAAAATGCGCTGAATTTGCATTCGGTGTGAATGGCTTGGTTTCGGTTTTAACCCATTCAAGATCTTCTCCGCATTGAGCTTCTATATTTCTCAAATATTTTGAATGAATAACGCAGCAGCAGCGCGTCTCGTGGGCTAGACTAACAAAACATTAAAATGCAACAACGTCACATCATCATCAACGCATCTCGCACACCACTGATGACTCTCCCTGATGCACACTTAACATTGCAATTGTTTATTTTAAATTCGACTAATATTCATTCTTTATTTACAATCTCCTCATCACAGGCAGGTACAGCACTCATTTCAGCATGTGTTTGTGTGTGCGTCACTCATAGCACGTGCCTATATCCTGCGCTATATCGAAAAAAAATTATATCGTTATCGAAGAAGGTGTACCGTCGATAAATATTGATACCATTTTATCGCCCAGGCCTATATGGTAATATTTAATAATAAAAATATTTCAGAGTAAAATAAAATTAGAAAAATGTAAATGAATTATAGAAATTTCCATGACTTTTTTTTTTCCTGATATATGTATTTTTTCTATGATCCTGTAAATTATAAACCTCATTAAAACGTGAATGTCATTCCAACATTTTACACTATATTGAAGATGATGTGCACAAAAACGTCCACAATTTGAATTAAACAGACCCGAATAACATGAAATATCATGAAACACAGGTACTAGATACAGGAATCTCTCTCACCATCTGCAGAAGTTTGCTCATTCATTGCATTCCCGTTACTGGAGTCCTGTTGTGGACATGATCCGTTCGAGTTCATCTGATCGGCCGCATCTGGTTCACCAGCCACAGATTTCGATTCCAGTCTGGCCCTCTCGGCCTCCTCTGCCGCTCGTCGCTTCACCTCCTCAAGCTCCGCTTCCTGCTTGGTCTTCAGACGGTCCAGGATCACATCTGGAGGAAATGGACAGAAGAATACGCTCAAGATACCGAAACACCACAACAGCTGTCCAACGTGTTTCTCTAAATAAATCATTTCCATTTCTCATTTCCTATCCACACATGTTAAGTTGGTTAAAGGGGAACTCATACAGGTTTGGAATCACTTGAGAAGGAGTAAATGATGGCAGAATGTTCATTTTTGGGTGAACTATTGCTTTACTCACTGACATGCAGTGGCTTACAAGTTATTATGTTTTAAAATAACTACTTGCTTGCCTCGAGTTAGCATTTCAAAATACCACGTGAATCAAAGTTTGCATGCAGGAAGCAAAACGCATGCATGAAACATCTGCAGCTTGATAAATACTTTCCCACAAAAACTTTTCAAGATGAATCTCACTCTAGTGCAGGTGGAGCTGCTTTTGCACTGCTAAAAATAGCTGAACGGAAAGACACCTTACAGTGATTTGAGTTACAACCAAATTTATTATTCTATACTCCATCACATTAACTAATATCGAGTCAGATATATTTACTGTATACTATGGATGGATTGTTGCAAAATGGTTTGCATCTTAATGTAGTAAAAAAAAAGAAAAAAAAAAAAGGTAATACAATAATTATTTTCTTATTAAAAATTGAAACTTAATTACACCACGTTTTCACAATAAATCTGTGAAATGGAAGTCCTTATTTGCAATAGGACTACACAAATAATTTTCATTTGCCGGATGTATAAAAATCCAGAAACAGACACACTGGAACATAATTCAGTTTTGCTTATTTCACTTAGTACCGATATTTCTTATTGTATGCCAGAAAAAAAAAAATACTGATATACAATTTAAAAATACAAAAAATAACTTAAATATGTTAACAATTATTAAATGTGTAATGGTCTTATCTAGTAATGCAATACAATAATATTTTTAATTCTAAAATGAAATAATTATTGGGAGTAATAAAAAAATAAATAAAATACAATTTAATAAAACTACAGTTCACATGGTGTGACAAAAGTTTTACTAAATTGATTCGTAAATAAAATAAATCAACTGAAACAAATTATATGTATTGAAAATGTTTAATTTAATAACATGTAAAAGTCTTTAAATTATGTTCTCTGAGAACTTTTGGAGTGGATTTATTAAAGGGGTCATATGATGCTGCTAAAAATAACATTATTTGGTGTAATGAAATGTGTTTATGAGGTTTAAAAAAAAAACAAAAAACATTATTTTCCACATACTATACACTATTGTTGCTCCTCTATGCCTCGCCTTTCTGAAACGCGCCGATTTTTACAAAGCTCATCGGTCTGAAAAGCGAGGTGTGCTGTGATTGGCCAGCTATCCAGTGCGTTGTGATTGGCCGAATACCTCAAGCGTGTGACGGAAATGTTACACCCCTACCATACTGTTGACGCCGTGTCCGGCCAGAGCGACGAGACAAAAACATTGAAACCCATAATAAACGAGGCATTTGTTGCATCCAGTGGGGACATAATTACGGATTATAATGACTTATACTGTCTTTTTAAGCATTGCGTTGCATCGCGCCGCGTAAACATAAAACCATGTCTGCATTTGTGATCGGAGAAATGACAAACAACAAGTGCTACTCTACACTGCTCAAAACTTGTGTTTGAATCATCAGTGGCAAATCCTTTAAATGAAAACATACTTACAGACTGTGAGTCAGAACAGCCGGCATTGTAGTCTACTCTCCCAGGATCAGTAAACAGTCCTCCATAAAATGTGCTGCACACATCTGAATATTTGGGTTAAACTGTTCTGGAACAGTGTTGTAAATACAACTTAACCACTGATTTGTAGTTGTGTCCTCTTTTGGAAGACCAAACAAAGTAATTTCGCTTTCACAACAAAAAACACGGCGGCCTAGCGTGAGCCGGGCTAGAGTGAGCTGAGGCGGCGGGGTTGAGAACGGCGCGGCCGGTGGATTTGACGAAGGAGCAGCAATCACATGTGATGACCCCGGGCTGGACTCCGCTTCGTCCACGGTGAAAGCCGATCCGGCGATCCACAGCACTAAGTTGATGTATTCCCTCAGCGACCAGCACAGATCAGCTCTAGGCATGACGAAGCGGATATCGTCCTCTTTTGGAAGACCAAACAAAGTAGTTTCGCTTTCACAACGAAGCACACAGTGTCTTCACGACATGGCTGCAGCGTCAACAATACTACAGCGAGAACAAAAGTTACGCCTTCTTTCTTTGTGTGAACATTTGGGCGGCGTTATGCAAATCTTCCCACATAGTGAGGTAGATATGCGGGGGCGTGTTAGATCGAGGCATTTTAGGTAGGCGTGGTTAACTCTTAACTTTTATAAAGAATATCTCTTTGGATTTGAGACTTTAGTCTTTGCAACTTTACAGATCTTCTTTATGCACCAAGAGCTTGTAACACTTCAAAGAGAAAAAGAAAATTTGAAATCGCATCATATGACCCCTTTAAAGTTGGGCTTTAGAGTTAATATCCTAAGCTGTCATTACATATAACATCTTAGGATTTGACTAAATACTAAATAAATAAAAATGCCCACATACAGTGGGGCAAAAAAGTATTTAGTCAGCCACCAATTGTGCAAGTTCTCCCACTTAAAAAGATGAGAGAGGCCTGTAATTTTCATCATAGGAAAATAACGGCTGTGGTCTTAACTTAAAGAAATTAAATACATCCCTCTTCCACAGAGCAGACAAGAGACCAGCAGAGTCAGCAGTGTCGTGTACTATTTAAAAAGGGAGAAAAATGATCTGTTTCCAAAAAAAAAAGATATATATATGGTTGATTCGGACAACCTGCGTGTCCATAAATAAGTTCTTCAGTTAGTCAGAGATTAGGAATGCACATCTGCTTCAAAACTTCAAAACTCCGAAATGAGACAATGAGGAACATAACGTTCATTGGTCGTCACTTATCATATTAAAATAAAAAGGAAGATTATTACATCTGCCTTCACACAACAGTTTAAAATGGAATCCAATGAAACCTGCATATAATAAACAAGTACAGGATATCAGCATGTATTTTTTTATTTAAAAATACATAAATAAATCAATAGAAATAATAAACTTGATTTCATACATGCAAACAGTATTAGAAAAAATTGTGACAAATTAAAAAAAAAACTTTAATGCATTTTATTGTGAGTAAATGCTAAAAAATTTAATCTAAAATTAATATTTGCAAAAAATTGCAATATGCAGTACTTAGACTGTCAAGTTGAATGTGCATTCAACTTTTTTTATTACCATCTTGGAATGTGCATTTCCAAGATGGCAATAAAAAAAATGAGCTATATGATTTGTGTATTTTCTTACCGTTGGCAACGGTGAGGTATGCCTTGTTATTCCCCCGGGCCTTGTTAGTGAGCTCCTCAGTAATGTCCATGTGAGAGTGAATCTCCTCTCTCATCTCCTCCAGCACAGAGTAGAGGTCATTCTCCCAGTAGTCTTTATCCAGAATCTCCAACAACTCAGCCAGCTGGACTTTAGTGCTGTAGTACCAGATCTGCTTATTTTCATCCTCACCATCTTCCTCTCTGAAACAGATCAAAATGCACAGATTATGTACATTCAATACAGACCCTTTATGGACTTTAAACCATATTTTTATGTTTAGAAAACCTTGCTTGAAAAGTAAGCGATGCATTCAAATTTTGACAACCACAAATAGCAAAACAAAACAAACAAAAAAAAAAACTTTCTTTTTTGGTTTTTGCCTGAAATAGTTTTGGACTACCAAATCATTGACTGAAACTGCTTTTCCAATGACTCGTTTTAAAGGGATACTCCACCCCAAAATGACAATTTTGTCATTAATCACTTACCCCCATGTCGTTCCAAACCCGTAAAAGCTTAGATTGTCTTCGGAACACAATTTAAGATATTTTGGATGAAAACCGGGAGGCTTGTGACTGTCCCATTGACTGCCAAGTAAATTACACTGTCACGGTCCAGAAAAGTATGAAAGACATCGTCAGAATAGTCCATCTGCCATCAGTGGTTCAACCGTAATGTTATGAAGCGACGAGAATACGTTTTGTAAGCAAAGAAAACAAAAATAACGACTTTATTCAACAATTCGTCTCCTCTGTGTCTCTCCGCATCACTGTAGAGCCATTTTGGAGAATATCCGCTGAACGCAAGCAGCGTACGCTATTCTGTGTCAGCCGCGACACAAGGATACATTTTCTACGTGTATTTACGCTTTGGTTTGAACGAAAACAGCGCATACGTGTAGCGTGGCTGACACAGAATAGCGTACGCTGCTTGCGTTTAGCGGATTTTCTCCAAAATGACGCTACAGTGATGCGGAGAGACACAGAGGAGACGAATTGTTGAATAAAGTCGTTATTTTTGTTTTCTTCAAATACAAAACGTATTCTCATCGCTTCATAACCTTACGGTTGAACCACTGATGGCAGATGGACTATTCTGACGATGTCTTTCATACTTTTCTGGACCTTGACAGTGTAATTTACTTGGCAGTCAATGTGACAGTCACAAGCCTCGCAGTTTTCATCCAAAATATCTTAAATTGTGTTCCGAAGACGAACTAAGCTTTTACGGGTTTGGAACGACATGGGGGTAAAGTGATTAATTAAAAAATTTTCATTTTGGGGTGGAGTATCCATTTAAACAATGTCAGTAGCTGGGTTTCCATCCAAACGTGAAGCGAATCTTTTCAAAGTACACCAAAAAGTAAATACGAATTAGGTGCGTTTCCATCATGTTGTTCGAGTGGATGACGGTGGAATTGGTAGCCTAGTAACCAACATAGAAAATGGAGACAGGACTGTAACTAGTTAAGATTGGGCGTGAGGGTTAAATGTTCGAAATGTCAGAATTTATTCTGCAAATGCATTTCCATCTCCCATTATTTGCATCAAATCTTTTTCACACAAGTCAAAAAACGCCTCAAGCGAGCGTAAAAACAAAGGGATTTTTTTTTCTTTTAAAAATGTGGCGTTTCCATCACTAGTTTCTGATGCGATACTTCAAAATGGTCGTAAAAACAGGGTGATGGAAACAGCTAGCGTCTAATTCATGCACGCAATGTGGATAAGCTACAACAGGAAAACATGTCAGCAGCGTGAACGCGGTTCACCATGACCAAACATTATGCTTGAGTAGCAATATGTCAAATTTGCTTGTAAAATTTCAAACGGAAGCTTGTTGCTGAAAAACTTTTCTACAACTGGATTATCATCTGTGAACACGATACCCTGAACAGCATTGTGAGTTCAATTACCTAAAGTTATTTACAGAAACTGAATAAAACTCTAATTTGGGTTTCGGTGTTTCGCTAAAATATATAATTTTGGTGCGTCACTATTAGAGCCCGACCGATATATCGTTTTGCTGATATTATCGGCCGATATGAGTCTGTCGCAGATATATCGGTATTGGTGAATATGCCGCCGATATGAATTTTTTTTTTACAGAACATATAATGCAGATAAAATGCTTGAAATGGTGTAATTACTTAGTTTGTCCAGCAGAGTGTCCTCTATTGTTTGCTACTGGCGACATGGATGAAACGCTTTAAAGCTTAAGTCAATGGAAAACCATTGAAACTTTGAACGGCCATATCTCCGTAACGGCGTGGCGAATCCGCACCAAATTCGGGGGATCTCTTCAGCTCAAGGAACCCTCTCGAACGCGAATCGAGTGTACGTCTCGAGGCCCTCTTTTGAATGAGACCACCCTCGATCTAGCGATCCCGGGGGGCTACCGACTCGAGCTGAGGGGACCCCCCGAATTTGGTGGAGATCCGCCGGCGCGTTCGCGAGATAGTGACACCAGTCAACACTTTCCCTTCAGTAAGGAGGTCTCTCGTTCAGGCAGCATTCACGCGTTGTCTTATTCGACTGTAAGAGCCCTGCGAAGTGGACTTCACATGAAATTCCGCCATGATTCCAGTTCCAAGGGAACGTACACGTTACATTCAAAGGGCATTAAAGTGCGCGAGACATGAATTTATATTGTATTTATTTACAGAGGTAGGGGAGAGCAACACTTTTTGACTTTCTCAGTTTGTGTAAATCCACATGGGGTTCAGAATATATATATTTTTTTATCCACGGTAATTTTACACTTCTCTAGTACAAATTTGTCGCTTTGTTTCATAATTACAGTGTATAAGTTTTTATTTACCCTCAAAAAATGGAAGTGAAATGTGACAACATGCCCCGTAGGTGGAACACATTGTAACATCTGAGGGGCACGTTGTAACATGACCATGTAACAGCTTAAAATCTTATCTGATCGAAGGAAAAATATATACAACACAAACTAAAATATTTTGTTAATATATATAGATACATGTTCATTAGTTTTTTTGTTCAAATAAAATAATGGCATTTTTTAAGAATTAAAATTAATCTGATTTTGGAGTTTGACAATGAACACATTGCAACCATGCTTGGGACGGCCCACATAAACCAGCAAAAATGCTTTATAATAATTTCTAAACATTAAACATCGACTGTCAGTCTTTATTCACCTGTTTCTCATTCTTTCTCATTAAAATGAATTAAAGTAAATAGTGTAAATGACATCGCTAATGTCACAGAAGAGCACATTGTAACGCAGTGTTACAACGAGCCCCATCTGCGCAACTGGAATTTAAAACTGGTCAGTGTCTTCTGCTAGTAAAAAGCATTAAAAAAAACTATCTGAACTGATAAATAACAGATTGTCTCATTTTAATTGAATAATAAAAACCGAGATAAACAATTTACTTAAGCCAGAATTTAAATGTTACTATGGTAAAATAAATATTCAAACCACGTGTGTTACAACTAACACCCCGTTACTTTGTGCATCGCACTCATCACAAGCTTATTGTTAAATTGTTAAATGCCCTTACATATCTCTGTCACCATTATAAGTGTTTGATCACCACATCTGAGTGATCATTGCAAAAAATGTGTTTATGTATATATATTCTGTTTATGTATATACTGTATTCTATATATAGTACCAGTCAAATGTTTGGACACACGAATGGGAAAGTGTCCAAACTTTTGACTGGTACTGTACTATAATATACACAAAGAATATCGGCCGATATATCGGTACCGGCCTTTTTTTTTACTCCCTAATATCGGTATCGACCCCAAAAAACCCATATCGGTCGGGCTCTAGTCACTATAAAATGCTGTTAGTAACTTAAATGAAGTTGAAAAATAATTTAATCAAATATTTTTAGTATTTATAAATATAATTATTTATAAATATCTGTAATAATGCAAATAATAAAAATAGTTTTCAATAATTGCAATAAAAATAATTATACATTTTATTAAAAATAATTTTCACAACGATATCAATGTGTAAACGACAGGACCATTCCTTTAGAAAATATCGTGTTATGTGCTCATATATTACATGTCTATATTGATACTGCTTAAAAGTGTCCATTTAGGAATATTATATCCAACTTTTTTCTTATGAATACAGTACACTCACGTATCCGTAATATACACTGTATAGCAAATCTATATATTTAATATAGCATATCTCAACTGTTTGATTGCTTGTACGATCACAAAATGTAAGCAATATTATCACCTAGCTATTTATATATAAAAATATGTTTTTCCACATTCATCCAGTATAGTCGTATAGTGCGATATACACTATACAGCTAATCTCAACTGCTTGATTATTTATATATTACTGCAAAATGCAAACTATATTATCGTTCTACTCTAATCTGCCAGATGAGACTATAAAGCATGAAGATATAAAGATATTACAAACATTATCATCATGATCTCCTGTAAAGATGCTATGCAAAGGTTAAAGGTTATTGGCTTTAGAAATGGCAAATGTGACACCTTTTTTTCTTTCATTTATAGCATATCTCTAGTAGTTTACATTAATATAATGCAAATACTCACACAATAACCCTCCTGTTGAGAAGCCAGTATTTTCTTTGATGTCGGTCGTAACCAATGGGCTCCTGCCGGATGTATGGCCGGCTCTTCTGGAACTCGGTCAGACAGTCTGTCACGCCGGGCACATTGTGTGCCACACAGATCTCACACTGCCACTCGTCCTCGGGTACCTCCTCCAGAGGAGGCTTCACGCACTCCAGGTGATACACGGCCGAGCAGGTCTCACAGCACAGCAGGTCGCCGAGCCGGTGGCAAACCCGGCAGTGGTCGTCGTACTGGATGACGCCCTCGGACATGAGCTCCTCGCGGGCCAGGTTGGTGGTGAGAAACTGGTCCACCAGGAACTGCAAGACCTTGACTTTGCTCTCCAGCGGGCTGAACGGATAGTCTTCACCCTCCAGGTCAGGGAGCACGTGGTGATACTCGGGGTCGCTTTCGCAATACGCACGCACCACTTCTGGCCAAGTCATGCCGTCGATGAAGTAGAGTGTGGAGTTGACGCTGTCCTTGAGGTCCGCTGGTCCAAAAGTGGTGTTAGAGGTGTCCTCCTCCCTTAAGATGGCCTTGAGCAGGCAGATGTGCGTCTCCGCCATCAGTGTGCACTGCTCCTGTCCAACCAGAGCAGCGCAGAAGTCCTCGAAACGGAACAGGGAGAGACGCAGGACAGTGCAGAAACTGCGAAGGACCTCGTAAACAGCCGAAGCGTTGAGTAGCTGCTCGTTGGGAATGAGAATGTCCTCGGAGGAACTGGGCAGCTCCAGAGGAGGAATCTCCTTCTGCTCCAGAATAGGAGAAGGTGGTCGCCTGGGTCTTGGTCTTTTACGACCTACTAAAACAGAAAGAATCAGAATTCGATTGCCCAGAAGAAAGTCATCATTAAATTTTCAAGGAAAATTAAGTCTCAATGCAATTTTATAATGCAAGGCATTTTGCAATTATACTAATGACTCCAATGTTGTTATGGTGTGTCCGTTTATAAGATTTGATTACTGATTTAACATTGAATAAAATAATACATGCATAAAACGTCCAGTTTCAGAAAAAAACCTTGTTGATTCAGACAACCCATGCATCCACAAATAAGTCCTTCAGTTAGTCAGACATGATTGATCAGGCATCTGCTTAAAAACTTAGCCATTAAGAAATAAGACAACGAGAAACATAACGTTCAGTGGTCGTGTATGCCGTATTTAAACAACAGCTAATATTTGTGATTCCCAAAGGAAAAAGAAGATTGTTACATTACATTCGTCTGCATAGAACAGTTTAAAATAGAATCAAATGAATCTTGTATCTAATGAACAAGTACAGGATATCAGCATGTAATTTTTTTTAAAGGGGTCATATGATGCTTTTTTAAAGATCATTATTTTGTGTATTTGGTGTAACAGAATATGTTGACATGCTTTAATGTTCAAAAAACACATTATTTTTCAAATGCTGTACATTATTGTAGGTCCTCTATGCCCCGCCTCTCTCAAACGCTTCGTTTTCTACAAAGCCCCTCCTTCCGACAAGCGCAGTCTGCTCTGATTGGCCAGCTGACCCAGTGCATTGTGATTGGTCGAACACCGCAAGCACTCGCCGGTAGCACACTCTCTCTCTCGCACACACACACACACGATGCGCAAAACTCGGCATTTGAACAGTCAATAGCAAATACTTAAACTAATAACAAAACAGTAGCTCCAGAAGCGCCAGATTGTCATAGCAAAGTCAGAATGACCTCCTCTCCTAGGTTCATGAAACGGTCGTCCATAAAATGCATTGCTGTTCTGTTGTAAGTAATCTTAAAGATTCCTAAATGCATCTACTTTCGGAAGACCAAATAAAGTGCTTTTTGCTTTCGCCTAGAAACACACAGTGTCTCCCTGACATGGCTGCTTCAACACTAACTGCGGTTACTGAAACTACGCCTTCTTTCTTTGCGTGAACATTTGGGCGGCATTATGCTAATATTTCCACATAGTGAGGTAGATATGTGGGGGTGTGTTAGAACGAGCCGTTTTAGGGGGGCGTGGCAGAGTCTTAACTTTGATAAAGAATATCTCTTTGGTTTTGAGACTTTAGTCTTTGCAACTTCAGGGATCTCATCTATGCACAATCAGCTTGTAACACTCCAAAGAGAAAGGAAAACTTGAATTCGCATCATATGACCCCTTTAAATAAAACAATGAAAGCAACAACTTTTAACGACTTGAATCTGCAAATGGTAAGAAAATGTAAATGTATATTTTAATCACTGAAAAAAAAATATTGTATGCTCACCACTCACGGTTTAAAAGTTTGAGGTCAGCTTTTTTGTTTAGTTTTTTTGGAAATTATTGATTTACTTTTATTGAGCAAGCTCGCATTCAATTGATCACAAGCGACACTAAAAAAAATTAAGAATGCTGCAAAATATTTATATTCCAAATAAATGCCGAAACTTTTGAAAGTTATCAAAGAATCCTGTAAAAAGTGTCAGCTTCCTCAACAAAAACATTCCGAATTGGTGCTCAAGAAAAAAAATTGCTTGTCATTATCAATGTTGAAAACAGCTGTACTGCTTAATGTTTTGTTTTTAATTTTAGCAGATGAAAAGTAGTTATCGTTACTAATGCTGGCATATTTACATGGTGTAAATATACATGGTGTTTATACAACAATGTTCATGAATATGCACGGTCCCTATTAAATAAACCAACAAATAAATACATTTAAACTGTTTTCAATACTGATAATAATACATGTTTTTTGAGCAGCAAATCAGCATGATTTCTGAAGGATCCTGTGACACTGAGGACTGGAGTAATGATGCTGAAAATTCAGCTTCGCATCACAGGAATAAATCTTCTGAAGGATCCTGTGACACTGAGGACTGGAGTAATGATGCTGAAAATTCAGCTTTACATCACAGGAATTTCTGAAGGATCCTGTGACACTGAGGACTGGAGTAATGATGCTGAAAATTCAGCTTCGCCATCAAAGGAATAAATTACATTTTAAAATATATTAAATTGGAAATCAGTATAATAGTCACTCAAAAAAACATTTTAGTCCTAACTATCTCCCATAGGTCGGGTAATTAATCATGACAGCACTAAAAGCTACATCCTAAGTGGCACTATGAAATGAAACGTCCCCCGCGTCCCCCGCGTCAGGCGCGTCAGGCGCGACGGCGCTGGATTTCAAAACAATCGGCCGCATGCTGCTGTCATTAGCCGAAGTCCAGCTTTGGCTGCGTGCTCCTCAACACCAGTCAGACTGCCACACGCTCATGCAAATGAGGGTGGACAGTAAGTAAAACACTTGAATAGAAGATTTGCAGGTACTTTAATGAAAGTCTATGGAATATGCTGATCACTTTGTTAACACATTATCTTATCAGCTCGAAATCAATTAGCAAGATGACGGGCTAACTAACTTTTGCTGTGCTCATGTGCGAGACTAAAAAGCGTTCCCTTTACAGTCTAACCTTAATAAATGTGTAATCACACAAAACAAAGGAGGAATGATTTAGTGATATTTAGAACACAATCCAGAATGTGTCTGGAATTAATACGCTAACAGGCTAACGTTAGCACATACATAATTGAAAGGTAAAGCGAACTTTTTGTTGATATTAAAAACGGCTTTACTTTTATACAATGGGAAGATGCGAATTTTAAGTTCAGCGTTTAATTATAAAGCTCTTTTTATGCTGGTAAGGTCCCGCGAACGCAATTTCGCCACAATAAACGACCGCCGCGCTCCAGCTAACTGCTAACGTTAAACCCGCCGCGGCCTTTGCCAGCACAGAAAAGCACCAGGATCCATTTTGAGTGTTTTGCTCCACAAAAGAGCGATCGTTCGGCCTGGACTCCGCGCTCGCCGTGCCTCGCGGATCAGTCATTCGCGAGGTCGCTGACGCGCCCGTACCTGCGTTGCTGCCGTGGCTGCTCTCCGTGCAGTAACTGGCATCGTCTTCTACCAAATCGTCCAGTTCCTCCAGGTAGTCGGTCTCGTCGTTGGCCTCCTCCTCCTCTTCTTCTTCTTCCTCCTCTTCGTCCGTCAGACGCTCCTCTATGTATTCTTCCTCGTCCGATCTCAAACTGACCGCATCTTCATCCTCATCGTCGCTCTCGTGGTCGTCGTAAACCACCCCGCTCGCGGGGCTTCCCGCCCCCCCCCCTCCCCCCGCCCGCGGCGTTCCGCCGCCCCCTGCCTCTGGCCGTTCCCCTGCCTCTTCCTCTGGCCCTCGATGCCGCGGATTGAGCTTTCCTCCGGCCTCGTGTTGAATGATGATGGGTCCCCCGTTTAGGGGTGACATAATCCTCATCGCAGGTCCCTTTCGGCTTCGCCCTCAAGCCCCGGCGGGGTCTCAGACCGCGCACCGGCCCCGTTGTGGGCTCCTGCATTAGCTGCGCTTTGGGCGGCCTGCCTCGTCTCCCCCTCATTATGGATAAAAATCTATTCTCCTCAGTTTCGCGTTTTGCCTGCACTTTACACGCACCAAACCCGGAATTTCGGGCACCACTGCAAAGTTGATCCCGCGCGGGTGAGGATGCACTAGTCCCGCGGAGCCGCGGTCTCGGTTAACGCGAGAACGCTCAAAACGAACGCCCGGCGCCCCGCTTCAGTTCGCTCGTCGCCGCCATGTTCTTTCCTCCCTCTCCGTCCGCTGACAACAGACGGCAGGCCTGTGCGGGAGTCACGTGACCCGCGCTCCGACTCGACGCTCGCTGGCTTTCGCGTTTGTCAACACGCTTCCCGAGCGCGTGTTACTATCATTAGGCTCTTGAGCGCGTGAAAATGTGCTTGTGCGTGTACATTGCTTGGTTTTAGTGTTGTTTTGGAGCAGCGGCTCTTGTCATCTGTTCTCCATTTTCCTCTCCGTGTTAACTTCATTGAGATAGAGGGTTGACCGAAACCCATAGATACAAGTATGTGTATATATGTATATATATATACATTTTTTTTTTTAAATTGGTGTTACAGAACATGTTTTTTTCATTGTATGTGCACATGAAGCAGCCTATTTTGACATAATCTTTGCTTCTTTCTCATTATGTTATGTAAAAATAATTAGGCTATATGTTCAATAAAAATCATATTTGATTTTCCTTGCTGAATTTCACATAATATCTGCCATATTTAATCTTTAGTTAAAACAAATGTGCTCTATACAGTGGGTATAGAAAAGAATCACCCCCCTTTTAAAATAATCACATTTTGTTGCTTTGCAGCCTGAAATGAAGACGGACACAGTTTTTGTTTTATCCAGCT